ATACGTTGCCCAGGATGCGCCACGTGGAGGTAAGTCTATCGCACACTCCGTCCCAAATAAATAAATAAATAATTTATGAACACTGAGAAGATAAAGTGCGTTTTAGCCCCTGGAAAACATCTAAACATTGAGTGCTGATACGAAGAAGAGGTCGAAGGCAAGTGGAGACTGAAAGTGGTGATACAAGAGCCACACAGCTTATTCAAACTTCTGGCTCAATTGATTTATGATTTTCCTATTGTCTCATATCCTATTGTTCTAAAATTCAAACATCATGGCTTGGCTTTCATTTTTCTTGGGTGCTAATGATCATATATATCTGTTTGTTATTTTAAGTGTGTTTGATCATGCTAACTCCCTTCGTCTCTGTTTCGTTTTAATGCCAATTGTAGAAAATCTTATTACCTTTTTTTTCTTGGGTAGATTTTATTAATCGATTGTAGTCAGTTGTCGTAGATTAATTTTTAAACAACAAAAACAACGATCTGCATTGCCATATCTCATAACCACCTCCTTTTGGCAGCTGACTTCATTGCAAAATTTAGAAACAAATGGCGCTTTCTTCCTCATGCCTTCATAGCCACCGCAAACCATTTTCGCAATTTTATAAGCCGAGATTTAATGATCCTGCCCAGCTGCGCGACTTATTTTCTTATCTTTATGTTTAATAATTTCAATATTTAATTTTTCGCGTTGTCTGCACTTGCATTTCTTCCGAGTCAGTTCGGAGTTGTATGAAGTGGGGAGGGCGGGGGTTGGAATGATTGGCAGAAGACGAACACAGAATAATTTTTTTGCTTCGGAAAATGGCGATTTTTGATCCGAAGCTAAGAATTTGCTATCATCAATTTTGTTGTCTTTCGGGGGTGGGGATTAAGGGATTGTAGCGATGATAAGGGGATTGGGAAAGATCATCTCTGAAAATTTTGATCTCTTTCTTCCCGTCGGCCAAAATTCAACACCCTGGATCTTTCAAATATACGAATTAAAGAATGAAGGGGATAGACAATTGACATTTAAACTGTTCCTTTTTATATATTACTATCACTGTTGATATTTAGGTGTTTGAGATTGCAAGATTTTGCACTTTGCGTATACATTTGGCAACGTACTATATTGGACTATTAAGTATCTCATTAACATATATTTATGTACATAAGATAGTAAAAAAATCACCGGAATGTACCTTTATGAAACTCCTTGGGTAGGAAATCTCTATTGTCAGAAAAAAAATTTGAGATCTTGTTTATCGCATGTGATTAATTAATGTCCACTAATGTCACTTGGAAGTTGAGAAAACGGAATCATAATTCCATATTATGCGTGGCAGTTCACTAAATTTTTGCAAATGCATTGAGATCTCAAAACTATTTCTTCACGAAATTCAGGAATCAGTGGTTTTAAGAGGAGAAATGGTCGTGAATTATTATTGATTATTTGCCTACCTGAATAGGTGAAACGTCCACCAGGGGTTGTCTATTGAACTCTGGATTACAACCTCAAAACCAGAACGTTTCAAGAAGCTGCAAGTAACTTCTCGAGAAGTGATAGAATTTCGGTTTCAGCTTCTTTTGTTTCCTTTTGCTAGTTGACATACGGATATTGCTTATGTTATCAAACTCTTAAAGCATTCTTTCCTTTACAATTACATAACATTAGCCTTTCTTCGCAATTTCCTTGATGTCATTTTGTTCCAAAATCGGTATTATCTTTATGAATACGGCTTTATAAGTTATTAATGCTGAATATAATATTGTATTTTTTTAAATGATTCACTTTCTCCTCTACTGTAATGCCATTGCTCTTAGCGCAACTCAACTCGGGTTGGGTTGTGCTATATAGGCATTGCAGCAAAATTGTGTTAACTCATCCAATTAAGCTCTTCCTTGTCACCCACTGCATTCATTTCGCGATCTTTTTTTCCTTTTTGGTGCCAATATGAGTTCGCCTCTTTGACAATTTTACCGTATTTGAAGTTGATTGCATATGCTGGGTGGTCGAAGCACCTCGGTAAACAACAGATAGTTCATTTGGTCTACGATAACTTGAATTGATAGCACTTTCTTATTTTAAAGGCTACGATTTAATCTTATGAACCTGAATGGAAAATAAGCAAGTAGCATTACGAATTCACAAACTTGATTATATCTAATGAATAATGAATATCTGCATATATTCAGTGGGCTCAATAGCCATTAAAATGAGTCACCGATCGGACCTAATATGGGGTGTTTGAAAGTGTATACCTACTTGGGCTTTGGGTTTATCATTATCTACATGATTATTTTATTTTTACATTATGCATTCAGATTGGTGGAAGCTCCTCTTCAATGAAAACTTCATCAACTGAGGAGACTCACGGAAATCCCCTTGGAGGCATTACTAAGCCCGTGGCACGCAGATTTGACCCTCTCTCAGAGGATATTTTTCGAGGATCGGCATTTTCCACTGTCCCTTCAAGTCGAGTTGCGATTCGACCGAATGAACTTCGTTCAACGGACCCTTCAGAACGAAATCGGCGATCGCTGTCTCTTGGTCCTGTTGATACTTCCTCAAATGGCGGTCTAGATGATGACGATGGAATTCTCCCTCTTCCTGATCCTTCTGATAAGGTATTCTTTTCTTTCAACTTTTTTAAATATTTACTATGCATTTCTTTTTAATGCACTGTAATCTACTCACAATCGTGTGGATGTAATGAGAGTGCTTTGCCAACTTCAACAGAAATGCTAATATTGTGACCGGACCGGATTTATCTGTCCAGATTTTACGCTACTCATAAATAAGTAGTATTGGCAGAAGTATGTTGACTTGTGTACACTTAAGAGATCAACCGGTTAATGCTTTTACAACAGAAAGGATGTTGGCAAGCGAGTTTGTCATGCCGTCGTTCCCATGTAAGGCTTTTAGACACTTACTCATTGAATGTTTTTAAACCTCTTGCATTTAGTAAGTCGCGTACATCAATTATTCAAATAATTTTCATTTTAATTGTTTTAAGCATATTTGGAAAGCGTTGTGGCTAGCTTATGATTGCATATATGTAGCAGCATCATTTGCAAAACGTTTTATTTTTGTGTAGTTCATATTTTCTCTGAAGTACACAATTTTCCTCCTATGGGAGTATTTATTTAATCACTTTTCCCTTGATATCAATTTGAATTTTATTTTTCGTCCCTCTATAAATGCAAAAATGCCAATTTAAAGATCATTAAAACCAATTGTTCTTACTTATTTCGCAGTTAGCTTACATAATTTTTGTCTAACTATTTCATGAATTGTCTAAAATTTTATAACCAAATCAGCTGCCAAAATCTCGCTCATAAAAGCTCTGCGTAACCAAACAGCTTTGTTTGATCTTTGTTTTAGTATTAATTTTTTCGTGTATATATATATATATATATATATATATATATTGGATTATTTAATTTTGGGACATACGTTTAGGTTATGTAGAATTATAACATTAAATCGATATCTGCCAACACCGTTTATTTTCAACACAAATGGCCTTCATTCAAATCATTGGAGTGCATATTGAAGTCTTTGCCTGTGCTATTCCTATAACCTGTAACACATCGGTTGTGTTTTACAATTTTTAAACTGCGTTAAGTTAACTGAAATCGATTTAACGAAGTTCAATAAGAAGTAAAGTGAAGGAATTGAAACGAGAAGGATATGGGAATTACTTTGATTGAAGTTCGGAAACTGATTGTAGGATATTCGCCTTATAAAGAGGCCATTTCTCTTCATCATCTAGATCTGGGGGCAGTAGGGGTAGATATTGGCTGGGGGTTTACTGGGGACATGTTGGCGACAATTCTATAAGGCTTTTGCTTTAATCTGAGCGTGGGCTCCATTGGTGATCCCAGCATTATCTTTGCTCTTGGACGACATGTGTTCGAGCTTCTTAGTGTCTTAATACCAAGTTCTTTTATTCTATTGCCAAACCTGCATCACCATAGCCGCTGAGCTGATAGCCCCAATGAACCTGGAGGTTGCGTTTTCGGAGCCGCTATCACTATTTTAGCTGGCATCTTACCTCGTTGAGGCGAGCTTTTACACTTTGAAAGACACTCGGAATTATAAGTAGTGACACCGCATTGATGATTAAACTGACTGCTCGATCGTGTCCTTCTTCTCTTCCACTAACAAGATGCAGTTAATTCGTGCTAGGTGAATTTTTTTCACTATAGCATGATTCACCAGATTTCACTTAAGGTAAATTTGGATTTCGCTAGTTTTATTAATTATTATCCTTATTATTATTTCAAATGGAAGGCGTTTTGAATAGTTATCGTTGGACATTTAGCTGACTTCGGGCTTCACAGAGGGAGGAATATCAAAGTAAGAAATATTCGTTAGGGGGAACAAAAGAGTGATTCACTGATGTAGAAGAGATAGACAGACACTAAGGTAGAGAAAAGTTGAGGTGAGTACTGTGAAAGATGTCGAATATGACATTCAGTGGGGTGATGGTAGTTTGAAGTCAGAAGCCAACTGCCGGTTTAAAGACTTTTTTGCCGTTTGAGTATACGTTGCCCAGGGAGGTAAGTCTATCGCACACCCAGATCCAATATAAATTTTATCTTCTAAACCACGTTGTTCGAAAGTACAAGCATAAGCGGAAGTAAATTTCAAAATATTTTGATCCGTCTGTCTTTTGGTAAGCTAAGTCAAGTTGTGCTCTCATTTTGCCTTGATCTATCGCGTCTGGACAGGAGGTGTCTGTCATGAG